ACTTTTTTTTTGTTTGTTTGTTTTTTGTTTTTTACAAAAATGATCAGTGAGAAATGACATGAAACCATTTCTCACCTTAGATCTTTTGTTGGGACCCGGAAGGAAATATGTATACAACAGAAATCAAAGGAAGTAATAATAATAATAATAATAATAATAATAATAATAATAATAATAATAATACTTTTTTATGTTGGCGATTATTTCTTTTCCTCTTAAGGAAAGTTTCCTGTATTTTTTTCTATTATAATGTGAACAGTCTTAATGCAAATTAGTGACTTAATGTTTTAAAACTACACATTCAGATAATTCGACCATAACAAAAAAAAATGAGAGAGAAAAAAAAAAAACAATGTTTGTAAAAAGCTTTCGAGATTGAAATGTCCTTAATAGAATTTTTGGACATAATGGAAATCTGATAAAAGCCGCTTCAGATTCGAAAAATATAATTCCTGCAATAATCCACTCCCCGTCATGTTTTCTTTCTGAATCCAAAAAGTCTCATTTCGTTAGATTTTCTTTTTGATGTCTTTATTTTGTTCTTTCATTTCAATATTTTTCTTCTTTATACATAAGCTTTCCTTTTCTCCTTTAATTTCCACTTATTTTTCTTTGCTGTTTAAGAAAGGAAAGTCGTGGGTGTGCTTCTCTAATATAGCAACATCGTTGCATGACAGAAGGAAAAAATGGTTCAAATAAATATGAATGGGAGCCTAACAGGGGAAAATCGATATACATAAAATAACGACAAATTTCATGCGGGGTTTTATGAGTCGTTGATTTTTACTTCCTTTTTCTCGTGCAATTCCTGAAAGATTTCATTGGATTTCCTTAGATTTTGGAAATTAAACGATTAATTTTCTTTAATTGGCTTGATTAATTTTACATTCCATGCCAATAAGATTTCACCAAATGACGTTTTTCGGATATATTTGGAGCAAACGTACTAACGAAATAAGTAAATTTATATAAAGTTAGTTAAGAAAAAAGTAAAGTCTTTTAAGAAAACGCTACAAATCGCTAACAATTCTATCAGTAAATAAATGTGCTAAATATATGCAAAAGATAATATATATATATATATATATATATATATATATATATATATATATATATATATATATATATAATTATTTATTTAAAATATGATTCAACACGCTACATAAGAGTTCTTATGTTTCAAAACAAGTGCCGAAAACTTCAATATAATTATTTGAATTTAATTGAATTAAAGTAAGCTCTGTTCCATCTTCAAGCGAAATTTTTTTTGGGAATAACTTATTTCTGAAATTTACGTGTTTTAATAGCATATTCATTATTGAAATCAAAATTTCTATGGTAACGGCTAGAGCAATTGTTTAAATAAACAGGGGTGTAAGGTGTTCATAATTTGTATCAGCATAAAGTTACATTCACAGATATCAAGTCAGGGTAAGGTCGGGGTGTCTAAATTTAAAACGGAAGATGATTTCGCCTAGTCTGGTTTACGTGTCTATGGAGATTTATTTATTTATTTATTTTATTTATTTATTTTTTTCTGAAAGGGTTTTGTGTATATAAAAACTGCCGTAACATTTGTTTTTTGACGACTTCATAAAGGGTTATCTTTTTTTGTAGGGCATTTAAACTATTTATTAGGACTATATCCGCTGCAATGAGAAGTAAAATAATATATAAATTCTAACGTTCACAGCATTAATCCAAAAGAGGGCTCGATACTGTTAGTAGAGCAATAATTCTTTATTATAATTTTATTATATAGACAAAAACGTTTACTCATTACAAAGATGCAACTTCGTTTCGGTGCATTTCAATTGATCCTCGACTGGCGAGAAACAAAATTGGTTATTGATAATTAGATAACCAATTTTGGTGCAATTGAATTGCGCCGAAACGAAGTTACATCTTTGTAGTGCATAAAGGTTTTTTGTCTATATGATAAATTATAATATATATATATATATATATATATATATATATATATGATAAAAATATAATTTTAAGGTATACATTGATTTAAGTGCTCAATATCAGAGATAGAGCGTTTGTATATACTATAAAATTGAACACTGATGTCAACACAGAGCGCGACAATTGGTTTTATACCTGAACACAATTACAATCTGAGAAAATGTCCCAAAGTTTTTGTGCTCAAGCATGATGAAACCGACTGTCGCTGCTTTGGTGTTGGCCTGAGTGCGCATTTCATATATATATATATATATATATATATATATATATATATATATATATATATATATAAACTGTTCGGGTTCGATTCTCGGTAGTGGATGCGCACTGTTGATGAGTCCCAGATAGGACGAAACCGCCGTCCAGTGCTTTCTGCATTTTGCTGAGGATTATTCTAGGCTCGACGAATTACTATATATATATGATTAGCCTAAATCACAAAAAAATAATCACTGATATATATATATATATATATATATATATATATATATATATATATATATATATACAGACATATTCGACGTGTAATATTAAAAGTAAAACTTTATTACATTTTTTATTCAATGTTGATGCACGTTTCAGCAATTAAATTGCCTTCATCAGTTTTACGTTTAAATGAAAAAGGGCAATAAAATCTTGTAACAGAATAATTCAAAATTTGAATTTCTAAGAATTGGAGACACCAAAACCAAGGAATCCCGCTATGTGTCAGTAAATGCTGGACATTCTCTTCTAAAATGAAGACGAGACTTAAAACAACAGAAATTAAGTTCTACAGAAGAATGCAGAGAATACCATTGACTGAACATGAGTGCAACAAGGAAGTTTTAAGGAAAATGGAAACAAAAACGATCCTTATGCCTAGAATCAAAAAAAGGTAGTTGAAAATTCTAGGGCATGCAATGAGGAAAACGAGCTTGGAAAATTAAACACTCACAGGCTATTTTGAATTCAAAATGTCAGTTGAAAATAGCGAATGACATAGCTAATGAGTGCAAATAAAAGGCAGATCAGGGTTAGGAGAGATAGCAAAAAGACAAATATTACTAAGAGCTAAAAAGGTCAGGAAGTTATGGAGAGCCATCTTCTCGCACGTCCTGAAAAGAAGAAGAAAATCTACAAACAAAACCCTAAACACACGAAATTATTGCGAGTCTCTCCCCCATATATTTTGTCTGTCAGGTGAACCTCATGATTATGTGTTTGTTTATTATTATACTTATTTTTCAACTTTTTTTGTCAATACAAATAACCTAAATGTTGTCTATTAATCAAACATTATACAGTGAAAATTTGCGATAATATTCTGCTTATAACAAAATCAATAATTTTGTAGCCTTTCAGACTGAATCGATTTGCTCTCGAACTGTAATATAAGGGTTAGTTGTTTAGTCATTCAAGTCACAGTGTAGTGATTGGCTTCGAATGAGAAACAATGGTTATAACTTTTCAAAAAAATTATCTCCCCCACCAGCAACGGTGATAATACCACTAAGATGGAAGATGTTACTGAGAATAAAAGAGACAGAAAAACTTGAGGAGAAAGAACATTTAAAACCGGGATTCAAGGTGCATTTAAATTTTTGAAGATCGTAGTTGACAGGAAAACAAGATGGCGTAAATGAAGAAAAATAAAAGTGTATAAAATGATATTCGTCTGTGCACAAAATGATTTTATATTCTTTTGGACGAAATGAAATCCATTCAAAAACAAGCATTACATTTTCTTTCTTTTTTTTTTATTCCTAAAATGGAGACTTAAATAAGTCTCCATTTTAGGAATTAAAAATAAAATCTCACCGTGAAATTTGTTCTTCTATTCTTCCACTCCTTGATAGAATGTGAGATTCTGAAATGAGAATATTAGCAAAAGGTTCATTTGATTCCTTTCCAACATTGAAATGGTTCGCTGTCAAAATGATAAGCGTGTGATGTAGTGGCTAGCGATTCAAGAAGAGGTATCCGAGATCAGAGTTCGCATACAAGTCGAGTTCGTTTCATTCAATTTCGTGGAAATACCTTTTGGAAAAGTATGAATTCCCCAGCTTTCGGTAAAATAATAGGGCAAACTAGTCTCTTCAGCCTTGGACAGCAACCAATCTGGAGAAGGACAACTCTGAATTCAAAACTGTATGTTCCCTGGCGAAGCTCATGTTATGCAGTTATTGAAAGGACCATGGAGTCTGTAATGACTATAAGCCTGACATTGTTTGGCCTTGATTGTTATTAAAAAATATTCCGGGCATCTGGCTCAATGAATATTTGGAGGTATTACATCTCATGAATAAATATGATTTCTATTCTCCTAGATAGACTAGTCTACAGTTCTCCCTGAATTATGGATAGGAGTAGAGGCTTATCCTATATTTTCTGTTTAGGATGAAGTTTCCAGTTCCTTGTAAAATCTACTTCCTCCATACTTCTAACGTCTCCGTCTAAATTCTGAAATTATATTTACTAATTTCTTTTATTCCCAGTATGTCAAGATAGGTTCGCATATCGTCCGGTTGACTCTCCTCCTCAGTTTTTTGAACAGGAGTAGAGGTTTATCCATTTTTCCCTGTTTTAGGATTCGGTTACTTTTCATTCTCTTTCACTCTCAGAAAAAAAAGCTCGTTCCTAGATAAAACTTCGCATATTCCAACTTCTGCTCAACAAGAATTTCATGGTATAGAAATAAGCTTTTCCAATTATTCTAGCATTTCTGATAACTGTTAGGGCCAAGATAATTGTTGGGTCACCTTATTTTAATGTCTTCTTCTTTTCTCCCCAGAGCCAGAATGGATTGTTCTTCTGTAAATTAGTTATTTTCATGTTCATATATTCAGTGATGATGCATTTGTTAAGAGCTGCAATTATTAAAGGGTCTGTTTCTCCTTTCAAGTATACTCCGCATAGCCATATCCTTGAATGTCTGGGATGATTTCTTTCTGCTTTAGTACTCGAGATTTCAAGTCCATAATACATGGTGCTTCTTAGTGAAGATAATCCGCAAAGCTATTCGGAAAGACCCCTCAATGATGTGTAAAATGTTTAACTCATACTCCCCACTTGTTTCTTCTTCTTCTTCTTTTTTTTTTCTTTTTCTTTTTCTTTTTCTTCTTCTTTTTTCTTCTTTTCTTCTTCTTTTTTCTTCTTCTTTTTCTTCTTCTTCTTCTTTTTCTTCTTTTTCTTCTTTTTCTTCTTTTTTCTTCTTTTTCTTCTTTTTTCCTCTTCTTCTTTTTTCCTTCTTCTTCTTATATTATTATTATTATATTATTATTATTATTATTGTTGTTGTTTTTGTTGTTGTTGCTGTTGTTGCTAGTAGTAGTAGAAGCAATAGAATTTGGGATTTACTGTATCTTCAAGCGGCTCTTTCGTAAAACCCTTTTTTTTAAAAATCTAGTCCTTTGAAATCTCGTTTTGATCTTGCAAACTGACATATTGATAAGCCGATCTCTTTCTGGCAGAATATACTGTAGTCACTTAAGACAGAATTACATACTTTTGAGCATAATGGTAAGAAATTTATTTGGAGACATCAAAGAAGAGGCTTTCTATCCAAAGAACACGCTCCCTAAAACAAAACAGAGTAGGGATTTTCATTATTGGGGAATATTTCTCTGGAAAAAAAGGTACAAGAAATTTGATAATAGTTCATTTTATAATGAAAAAATGGGGACATTGTAAAATTTTGGATGTCAAATTAAAGGTTCTTCTCAGAAGTCTTAGTACAGCTGTCCTATAGGCACTGTCACGAGAAATAATTCTTCTTCAAATCTTGTTTACATTACTATAGATGAAGCAATCCAGAATATGAATATTAATTTTTTAATGACATTTTGTAAAGGTTAGCAGCGGTTTCAGTTTGTTATGTAAATTCATTGTAATTTGATTCCCTTGTTGAAGTCAAAACAAATATAATCATAAGACGAGATTTCTTAACGTTTAAAAAATAAATTGAAATTCATAATCTCGATCAATCGACCGTAATAAATGAAAGAAGAACTCCAGAACAGATTTTTTTTCTTCTTTACTTTAAGAAATCAGATAGCTTGAGAATATTTTGTCTTTTCTTCCGGATAGGGATCACTTCATAATTATTTCACACAAACAACTTCAGAAAACTATCAGCTTTTAGAATTTATTTATTTTTTTTTTATATTCATGACCTGTACTGCGTATTTTTGTTTAAGCAAAATGGTAACATTATATGGGAAAAAGGAGGTGCAAGTGTATAATGGTCCTGTTCTAAAATATTGCATTTTTTAAGAGTTTGAATGAATACTTTTCTAACACACACACGAGCACGTGTGTTTTTATATATATATATATATATATATATATATATATATATATATATATATATATATATTATATTTTAGACCGCTTACCAAAATGTCCCCCCAGCCGTTTCCATGGTAATTAATTTTGATTATAAAGATGCGTACATTTCAAGTTATTCCTAAATTTTCGCTTGAGGATGAAACAGGGTTTGATACTTTAACTCAATTTAATTTTAATAATTGTATTGAGGTTTTCGGCTCGTTTTTGAAACATGAGAACTATTATGTAGCGAAAGAATCATATTTTTTTTTTAAATAATTATAATTTAAGCTCTACTTCTGTATGGAGCACTGTTTTTTTTTTAAATAAAACAAAAATACTAAAGAACTCCGGGTTATATACCTAACGTGTTCTTTCCTTTTTTCTACATATCTACACACACATATATATATATATATATATATATATATATATATATATATATATATATATATATATATATATAAACATTGAAAATTTAATAAACACCAGATATTTTTATATAGAGTATCCAATATTAAAACTATTAAAATAATATTAAAATAGTGAGTTAATGATATCATATGAAAAGATTACTTAACTTTTTAAATATCAATTTTTATCATCGATGATTCTTAGTAAAATTTCCAGTCATCAAGGGTAGATATTTTTTAACCTTTTTTCCTTACTTTTTTCCAGTGCTCCATACAGAAGTAGAGCTTAAATTATAATTATTTAAAAAAAAAACATATGATTTCTTCGCAGTATCATTTTCCGACTTAATTAAGATGTTCTTCGCCCTCTAACTTTCTAACCTTCTGTCCTAGAGTAGCAAAGTGTCACATGGGCTTCACGTACGATTTCATTTTCAAGTCTTTTTTTCAGTGCTCTTTGGACTGTCATAGCTGAAATTTTTCTGACATGTGCCAAACATTTTATGGATACAGTTGGATCTTTTCTAATTTATCTATTTAGCTCTAAGTTAAAATCATGATCCCTCTTCCCGTTGTGAACTCCTAATCCAGTTTTGCTCTCTACTGTTCCGTCATTGTAAACTTATTCAACGCTGTATTGATGGTACTTGAATGGACTTTGAAGATGGAAGTCAGAGTATGAATGCTGGTACCATTATTGAAGGCTTGGATGATCTATTTTTTCTCACCATTGGTTATTTGGGAACACATAAAATAGGTTTAACTTGATCTCTTTTTATCTGAATAATTCAAAAGGGTTTTCAGTGAT